CTTTTGAAAAGCCATGTTTTGAACATGCTGAGCTTAATTCATCTAATTTACTTTTGTATACACATATGTAGATAATTTTGCAGTATGTAGTGTGTGAATTCAGAGAATCTGTCTGGTCTATCTACTGATTGTTCCTAAGTCATTTATTTGATAATTACCAGAACTTTCATTTTGATCATCTGTCCTTCCACTTTGGTGGGCATTAAGCAATGCATTATTTGGGTATGTACTTAAGCTCGAAAAATTGACATTTTTCTTAGTAAAATAAACAGATTCTATTTCCTCTTAAAACCACAAATCTTGACTTTCTTCTCTGGCCTTCCTGTGAACAGGGACTCTGGAAAAAGAAGTGTTAAATGTGGAGTTTTAAGGAATATTGTGCTCAGTGCTTATTTGTAATTTTTTAATTAACATATCTGACCTCAGACAAATGAAAATCACATTTTAAAATGTAAAAAATTAATTGAAATTCATCTGGGATCAGGAATATATTAAAAGGTTGCCAGACAAATCTAAAGCATATGCAGAACTAAATGTAAAGACACTGGACATACAGAGGAGGTTTTCCCAAATCCTGACAGCCAGAAATCTTCCCCACCCACCAAGTATGAAGTGATCCATGTGGGAATGTTTGAGCAGTTTTCCATTTGAGTAAATTTGTTTTCGAGTAAATTTGTTACCTATTATTCAAATGAAATTAGAGATTCTTTTTTGAAGGGTAGAAAGAGGTATCCTTATCTTTTATGAATATGCATAAAAAAGAACTGCTAAAAGGGTCATGCAAAGTAGGAAAAACTGTTTTCTTATAACTTCCATGTGAATTACCAAATAGTTCAAAAAGTGATTAAAAATTTGTATCTCCTTCATCTGTAGAACTCAACACGGAGGAAAAGTTCTCCATCTCAGTGGATGTGAACCTGTTTAGACTATATGTTTGTTTTGTTAAGGCAAAAACATTGCTCCTCATTTACCACAATCATTTTACAGCTCTCTGATGTGTTGCATAATCTTCCTGATTTTTAAAAATTAAAATTGGTTTTGTGCCAACTGAATTTCTTTTCCTGGAACTCATAAGTGGTTGATGTATTTTTGAGGTTGAACATTAGTAGCACTGAGTCAACTATTGTATGTTTTAAGATTTACGGTATCAGGAAAAACACCTGCTGAAGATCGCCTTGGTTTTCTCATGATGTCATCAAGTCTTTGCAGCTGGTGAAAGAATTTGGAGATGTGTTGTTCTTCACACTTGAATTTTGTTTGCCTGATTATACATTTCCTGAGGTCAGGGTCTATACCCATATAGTGTTAAGAGTTAGTTGTATCAACTACAGTGCTCTGCCTGTAGAAATATTCACAATTGGGACCTGTAATATTTTCCCATTTGTTCAGTTTTCTATAGTTCAAGTAGTTTGTTCAATGGGACAACGTAGTAAGGTGGTTAGATGTATAAATAGCTAGCCTAGAATTTACTTTTGTATACTATTTCTTTAATTTTTCCATCTGTGGAGAACAGCACTGGTCTAATGATATCTTCAAATGACATGAACTTGTTTCTTTCAAGGAACTAGAGTATGCTGTTTCGGAATGAAAACTTCCCAGTCCCTCTTCAGACATTTCATAAGAGTGTAGGAACTCCAGAAACTATTGTATTATGTTCTTCATTTTATCCTGGATGTTTCTGCTATAGCATGGGTTTCTGTATGAAAAATCAACTTCTATGTGATTGGTAAATGTGGGAGGTAGGTCCATGTGGGATGGGTATCAGCTCACTGGCAAATTTCCCAGATGAGAGCAGTCAGAAAAATAATAATAGAATTGATTATAACCTTAAGATGGCAAAAACCTCTCTATTTGACTGACTCCCTAGAAGCAGAAGCCTATAGGAAAATTTCAAAGCTGCACCTGCTCCATGTCCTGACCTTGGAGAGAGATGCCTTTGCTCCTGGGAGATACACTTCCTCCCATGCTAACCTCCATGACAGCTTCACTGTGAAAAACTTGTTTCCCAGTTACATTGTGTCCATCATCCCTTATGCAATTAATATTACAAGCATTTTTGTTTATTTGTATGCATTTTAAATATCTATGGAGGCCACAATTGCAAATTAAAAGTTTTGTGTATTCTATTTTTCAAGGTATTTTCCCACAAATTCTCTCCCCCTACTTTGAGACATTTCAGAACTCAAAATTTGTTGGAAAACTTGTATTAAACAAGAAATATTTACCTACCTATCTATGTACACCAACAGTGAGGTTGACTGGGTTGTACATTGCAAAATTCCAAGGCAATACATTCATAGACTATAAAGAACATGGTGGCATTTCCTTGTATTTAAATAATACAAGCAGCTTTGTAGCTTTAAGGTTAAATAGTTCTTTGAGGTTTTTTTTTTTTTTTTTTTTTTTTGAGGGCAGTGGTACCAGGGATTGAACTCAGGGGCACTTGACCACTGAACCACGCCCCCAGTCCTATTTTGTGTTTTATTTAAAGACAGGGTTAGGTCTCACTGAGTTACTTAGGGCCTATCTAAGTTGCTGAGACTGACTTTGAACATATGATGCTCCTGCCTCAGCCTCTTGAGCTGCTGGGATTACAAGCATGAGCCAGCATGCCTGGTGTTCTTTGAGGCTTTTAACAACAGACAACAGGCTATTCTTTAATCCAGCTTATTCTAAGTTGCAATATATACTATCTGACAATATTGGCTAAGGGGAGGAATTTACACCATCAGTTCTCTGGCTTCAGGTTTTTAGCATGATTATAGTTTCTGAATTGTCTTATTTGGTAAATTAGCCTGCTTTTGTTTGCAAGCCTACTACCAGTAATTTTGATTGTGCCCAATACTTCAAATTCATAACAAGCAGACTTTTTGGTAGTTGTGTATTCAACTATGTAAAAGAATATAGGACAGGAAAAAAATAAGGTGTACAGATGGGTATCTTACCTCCTCAGTCTGGGGTACTTCTTGGCAGTTCAAGGTTGAAGGGAGGAGATCTCAGAAGATGGTATGTGAGACACCCTGTAGAAGCCTTTGTATCTACCAAGAGAAACTAACATCTCCTGCAATAGCTTATAGGTATTGAGGGTCTAGGTCTCAAATACCTGTTTATAATCTAAACTACACCTACAGAGGATCTGGTATTTAGAGTTCATTCACAGTTCTTCCAGTCTGGTTGTGGTTCACCAGACAAGAGTTATTTTTACCATAAACAATGTTGTCTCGTTAAGTAGCTGAAATTCTACCTTTATGAGTTTCTAGAGAAACAGAAGTAGGAGGTGACCTCAAGGTCACAAGGTCTTATTATCTAGTCTTTTGCTGTTAAGACAGAAAAACCTTCCTTCTGTTTATAATCTCCGCCCCCCGCTGGAAAACAAAACAAAACTGCTTTTCTTTTGGGTTCCTTATGGATTAAGTGTTCTTTAGCTCTTATGTATTATATATTTATCTTAATTGACAGTAATTGAATCTGTCATGTTAGATTTCAGGAAGAAGTAGCTATTATGTGTATGTTTTCAATTAACTTTGTTTAATGAAAAGTTCCAGGAAATAGTTATTGAATATCTACCAAATTTATAGGTATCATTCATGGTCATCATAATTCTTTTTAAAAATGAATATATGTTTTTTAAAGTAACTAATTTATTTTTTTTAAGAGAAGAGAGAGAGAGAGAGAATTTCAATATTTTCAGTTTTCAGCGGACACAACATCTTTGTTTTTTTTTTGTATGTGGTGCTAAGGATCGAACCCGGGTCGAACGCATGCCAGGCCAGCGCACTACTGCTTGAGCCACATCCCCAGCCCAGATAGGAAAGGCAGCAGAATACAACAGACACTAGTATGGCAATATGTAAATCAATGGAAGTGTAACTGATGTGATTCTGCAATCTGTATACGGGGTAAAAATGGGAGTTCATAACCCACTTGAATCAAAGTGTGAAATATGATATATCAAGAACTATGTAATGTTTTGAACAACCAACAATAAAAATAAAAAAAAAATAAAAATGGATATTTGGGGGCTGGCAGTGTAGTTTAGTGGTTAAGGACATGCTTAGCAGGCATGAGGCTCTAGGCTCAATCCCTAGTGCACACACAGAAATTTGTAGAAGTACTTTTCTATGGAAAAGCAAATAGGGTGTCATGAGAAAAACTCATTCCATGTGTTAAAGCAAGGACATAATGTGTGTTTTCCATGGAGTGTTTGCATGTGGAAGTGTTGAGAGGAAGGAAAAGTATGTAAGTGTGAATGGGATATGTTCTAAAATATTTCTAGTCAATAAATACATGTGATTGGACAAGTTGCTGTTTTTGAGATATTAATTTGTTCTTGAAAAAATATACATATTTACTAATGTTCATTCCATATACATTTTAAATTATTTCTTATAAATTATGATTTTGATCCCTTGTCTTTCATAAGAGACAATCTTGATAACTTGTAGAACTGATGATCTCCCATCAGTTCTACAAATATTCAAGACACAATGGTAATTTGAATATTTTTAAGAAGACTTTTCATGGTGCTTAAAAATCTTTTTTTTTAATTAAAAATAAAGCCCCTTGAATTTCCTATGGAAAATGGATAATTACGTGTTCAAGATGCCCTTTACAATTTACTTTTTAAAAATAATCTTTATTTACATAATTAGATAATTATTTCCTTTGAATTTCATTTATATTATTAATTTCTTAATATGCATGCTAAGAAATATGTAGTCTATTTACAAATTATGTATTAAGTTTGAGTTATTGAAATCACATATTTTACTGATAAAAGCTGAAATAGAATGTTAGCATTTTCTCAATATTATATTAGTAATAGTTACTGTCTATATAAAAGAGGATCCATGGTATTTGAAATTTTCTGGCCTGAAGAAACCATAAATTAACATAAATTAATAACAGTCATTAGGATATTATAGTTATACTATAAGCTTTAATTTTTCAAGAGGAAAATTTGAAGCAAATGATATTTTGTTGTCTATTATATTTTGCAGGTACATTTTCTTGATTTTAAATTTGCGTCTCCCAGTCAGAAAATGGAAAGCCTAATGTGCATTAGGGAATTTGCAAAGAAAATGAAAAAAAGAAAAGTTTTATTATATGGTCTTATCATAAATTACTCACAGGTAGGTAAAATGTAGATATCACCTAAATGTATGTTTTGTGGACTATAATTTTAAGAAAATAAGTTAGAAACTAATTTTTTTGAAAGCAAATGGTTATTAAGAAGGGAAATTAAAATTGTGAGATTACTAATCTACTAATGTGCTATAATAACAACTTCTTAGTGCTGGAAGAGAAATTAAAAATTTTATATTTCAAAAATAAAAACAATGATGTGTGTTGGTCAATATATCATACTAGGTAGCCCACATAGTATTGTCAGATTAATTTTTTTTCCTTGTTATTAAATTTTTGGTATTGGGGATTTAAGCCAGGGGCAGTTCAACACTAAGCCCCATTTCTATCCTCCTTTTATTTTTTATTTTTTAGTTTGAGATAGGGTTTCACTAAGTTGCTTACAGCCTTGCTAAGTTGCCGGGGCTGACATTGAACTTGCAGTCCTCCTGCCTCAGCCTCCTGAGCTACTGGCATTACAGGTGTGTGCCACCATGCCCAGCAGGATTGTCAGATTTAGCAAATAAACAGAGAAAATTTCCAAAGTTGAACTTTAGATGAATAATTTTTTGTCAGTATGTTCCAAATTTGGAATTTAAATTTTTAATTGCTTTTCTGTATTTAACTAGCAACTCTATAAGGCTCATGGTATTGTGTACTTTCATTATTTTTTAAAATTAATTTATTCATTCTTATACACAACAGCAGAATGCATTTCAATTCATAGTACATGTTTAAAGCACAATTTTTCATCCTCTGGTTGTACACAAAGTAGAGTCAAACCATTTGAGTCTTCATACATATACTTAGGGTAATGATGTCCATCTCATTCCACCATTTTTCCAAAACACATATCCTCTTGTTTCTCTTCCTTCCCCTTTTCCCTATCCGAAGTTCAACTTGCTGCTTATAAACATAGTGATAACAAATGTATTTTTCTCTAGTTAATTACCATACCTTCTCATAATCTGAATGACAAATATCGACTGTCAGTGCTTAAGTAATAATGAAAGTAAGCTTTCAAGATTATATATACCATTGAAAGAGTTATAGTTTAAAAAAGTTTGATAAATATCAATACATAGAGTTAAACATACTTTTTAAATGAAGTGTTTTGCACAAATCCAAGATGTACTGACAAGTGTTTCACATCTTCAAATTGAGGGAAAGGGAAATACTGTTTTTTATTTGCTCCTATAACCCTGTAATCATGAACAGCTCATGAGATTACTATTCCATAGATCCAACTTTGGGAAACACTTCTTGCCACATATCATAAGCAGAGGTCACTGTCTTCTGGACCAGCTTATATCTGTATGAATATTTCCACTTGGTTAATTCAGTATTTCCATTGCTGAGTGCCTAATTGACAGTCATTCTGCCAACACCATGTATATATAATGTACATTAGGCAGAACTTGTATTCACTGTGCATTGAAAAAAAAAATCCACAATTTAAACAGTGTGGGTTTGTGCTTTCCATGGTGGTGAGAGGTGGAACTTTTCCTAGTGTTCGTACATTAGGCTTTAATCCCTAAATCTAATCCTTCTCTGATTGCCATTTTTATTTTCCTACATTGTTACTGTATATCCCTTTAATTCTCTTTATCAGAGGAACCTTTCTAGATTTTTATTCGTTTTTTCTAAGACATAATATCAAGTGCTGCTTCATTGAATAGATTTTCCATGTGTTAACAACTCTTTGGAACGGAGTATATATCAATTTGACTGTGAAGTAAGAGTTAAACACATGGTTTCTCTTGTTTAAGGAAGGCCTGTTTTCCATATGTGATATTTCTGATAATGTAGGTAGATGGTCTCTGACTTTTTTTTTTTTTGACTGTACCTTTACAATGCTGATTTATATAGTGTTTATACTTAAATAGGATTAGGTAAGCTTTTCTTTATAATCACTTAGCACCTGCTGTGGCTGCTTCCCATTTGTGTTTGCACAGGCTTCATTTACACTTATGTGTAGGACATGCTGTGCTTGGTGAATTTAAGCTTATTAGTTTTATTTCATTGCTTCATTTTTTCATATCATTTGCATTCATAGTATAGCATAATTTTCTGTTTTATATAGTTTATAAATTGTGTAGTTTTAGGAAAAATCTGATTCAGAAAATGTTAAGAATTAATTCCTTTTCTAATATCTACAAATGTTCTACAGTGTTGTGCATGACCAGTTATTAATGACTTTTTGGTAATTCAGTGACAAATCCATCTAATCATAATCTTTCATCAGTTACTTTATTTTCTTTTAATTATACCATAGTAAACTGCTAAATGTTTTGCTGAACTCCAATATATCCCAGATGTGTGCATTTTTGAGATCATAGAGATGATTTGCTAAATTGTTAAATATACTTGATTCCTTAGTTGTGTCAATGTAGTAAAGCACTGATTAACTTTTACTAAAATTATTGGAAATGAATTAAAGATTTGAAACTTATGGTCTAAACTAGAGTGTTAGTAACTGTAAAACACTGTGAACTTTTCCTCAAAATTTGTTGGATAATTTTAAGTGGTCATATCACTCTTCCATAATCACATAAACACAACTGTGGATAATGTAAATGAGATTTTATAGTTTAATATGTATAAAAAATCTTAGTCCCTTTCTAAGTATTAAAATCTATGAACAAAAATATTACTTTTCTTTCATTTTTAATCCAACTTTGCCATGCAAGTCATTGAGGTATGTGATATAAAATTATATTAGTGAAACATACCCTAATTATCTGAAAATTTTTGAGGATATGGCAGTGAGATATATTTCTGGCATGTGTATTTCAGGCCAGTAGCTTAGAATTTACAGACTTATTGAAGTCTAAAATACTTTTATAGTGAATTTTTGTGAAAATATTTACAAGTATACGTGTTTCAATAAGTTGTTACATATGAAGTTCTCTGGCAACCAAAAATTTTAAAGTCTATAAAATTTAGAAGCTCCTGGAGTAGTTTTCTACTTAAGATGTGCATTTCACATACTTGGGGATTTAGAGAGAGAACTACACAGGCTCAAGGTTAAAGAGTTTTCTATAACCATCTTATAATTAATGGTTTATTCTACCAAATTAATGTTTATTTCTTTCTAAATTGAAAAACCATGTAACATGAATAACTATGTACATTTTCTAAGGCCCCAGATTATCTTTTTGTAAAATGCACCTATTATAACTTGAAATGTGTGTCATATGAGAAGGTGAAAACCTGGGAGAAATGCTGGTATGCCAGATAACACTTAGTGTGTCTCTCACTCTAACATGTTATCTCTGGAACGTGTGTCTGGTTTTTCCTTCTTTTCCATATGTAGCCAAAAACATTCACCTGTATTTTCTTTCTTTCTTTCAGAAATAAATTATTCATTACTTTTAGTAAAGTTCAGAAAGGGATTTTTGTTTGCAGACATCATTAGAAAAATAACATGCAAGACTACAAAGGGGAGTTTTAAGATTCACCCAGGAAAGGTTGAGGAAAATATTAAACATGAGTGCAGATGTTTACTATACCCATATTCTCTTTCTCCTTTCTTCCCACTGAGCTGTTCTCTGTTGGGTTTCATATGGTAGGGAATAGGACTTAAGATTCCTTTTGGCGTAGCATCTTAGGATGGGAACATTGGGAAGAACTGCACTAATGGCCCAACTGAAGAAACCAAGCTCAGAGAGGTCAGATGATCCTGCTCTACCACCCTCTCCCTGCTCCAGAATTCCACTTTTTTGGTTCCTACAACTACAGATAAGGAGGGCATTTTAAAAAGGAAGAAATTTATAAAAGCATTTTTATAAGTTTATTTTTAGTAATTATTTGTAAAAGATTTAAGAATCATTGTGTAAAAGTCCAAAGCAGGATATACATGAAGCCTTTTTTCTTTTTCTTTCTGTTTTTTTTTTTTTTTGGTAATAGTATTGCATTAGATGAAACTCTATAAATTGGCTTTGTATCACAGAGTATAATAGACCACTCTACTTGGATTAAATATAATCATCCTTTTCTTTTGTCTGAGTTTTTCCTTGTAATTAACCACAAGTAAACTCATAATAAAACTTTAAGAACTCTAATATGGACAGGTCCAACTGCTGTAAGGTATCTTTGGGCACAAATACTGAATTTGTAAGGTACAATATCAGTCTATCTAAATTAACACATTTGCTCTATGTCTTCTCTGCATAGGATATATAAAATGTGGATGATCATTGTAGACCATATGGATAAATGCTATTAAATAGGAAAAAAAACCTTTTTAAAAATTATGCTAATCTTGGAGAAGTGAGACTGTTTCTTCAATAAGCAATTACTTGGAATTCAACTTGGAATTATTTACTGAACACATGATACTTTCCATGGCGCTGAATCATATGGCATGCAACACCAAATCTTTTACAGAAACCCAGAATACCATGCTCAGAGTAAAGCAGGCTTTTTTTTCCTCTTGATGTGGAAATGTTTATGAGAATAAATATTTTTCACTTTCAGTAGTGTTTTGGCCTTTAGAGTTAATCATTTGAGAAAATGTGAAAGTTATAAAATATAATGTCTTCAAAATTGTATGATTTGAGAAACAAAACTGTTTTTAGGGAGTTTGTTCATCTCACTTGGTTGATTCATTAAGGACTGACAGTAACATTATTTTACTTATGTATAAATGGAATGCAATATTAAGACAATTTTTGTTACATATCTTTCCAGTTTTTGATAAAAGAAGAAACTTTTTTATAAAAATAAAGGCATTCCTTCTGAGGAGGTACTACTATGAAAAGTTCTTAAGGAACTAATTCTTTTAGCTATGTATTCTTTATCACTGTATAACCAGTATTTGATGGCTTCAAAGAACATCATTCATTATTTCATAGTCTCTGTTTCTCTTCTGCTTTGGGTATCTATCTCAAGGCTATAATCATTCCAGGATTCTCCTGGGAACAATCCTCTTTCCAGCTCACTCACCTGTCTGTCTGCAGGATTCATTTCCATGTGGGTTAACACCTCAGTGCTTCATAGTTTCATG